CATTTTTTGTAAAAAGTGATATTTTCTTCTTGTTGAAAACCACAATCATTTATGGTGAAAAATTATATTTTTAAATTCTTGTTGAAAACAGCAAGTCCCATTGCATTGATACTATGCATATTGTTCATTTTCTGTTGATATTTTCTGTTCTTTAATTGAAATGTGCATTGCTAACAGCGGAGCTATCTCAGCCGAGAGGCTGCTTGTTCAATTTTTTTCTGAGCGAGGCCTTTGACATGACATGACATGACATGTCATGTCTTGTATCATAAGCAATTTGTTTATTTTGAGTTTTATTTTGTTTAACATTGTTTTAATTACAAATTTATGTTTGTGTTTATAATTTTATCTCATGTCAGTCAGGACATTGTGTAGTTTCTCATTAGCACAGACCAGAAACAATTTGGCAATGTTTGCTCTTTCTATCATTCCCACATAAACAGTGCACGTATGATGTATATAGTATTATGTGTTTTTATTAACCTCGTCACAATCAGAAATATACTACACAGTAACCATGCACAGAATGTTGAGCTAAGGTGTATATAACATAAACGCATTAGTATTAAAGTTTACTCTACACTGTATTTATGACACGATATTATTATATTTATTTCAGTACAACAAGACTCCACTGCACTATGCAGTAGAAAAAGGTGATCATGAATCAGTTCAGATATTGATATCAGCAGGTGCTAATGTAGACGTAGTTGATGAGGTAATATGTAGTATCAAAATCAAGCATTTATGGATGGATTTTGTTCAAACTTGGTATATACATTGGACATTATGGGACCTAAAAAATCGTCAAAAATCAGACATTTCTGGCATTTCAGAACTGAATCTTGTCGTTTATAGATGGATTTTGTTCAAACTTGTTACATACATTAGACATTATAGGTTTGTGATGCTCGTCATTTTATTTTTCAGATCGGATTCAAAATGGCTGACTAACAGCCATTTTGTTTTAATGAACGCACTTTTAGAGCCATATCTCTGATATTTATATATTCATTATAGATCATGTTATAAATATACAGATGTATTCAAAATGACTGACCGGTGGCAATTTTGTTTTAATCAATGCTGTTCCAGAGAAGTATCTCTCAATATGGCTAAGTACTCAATTGACAATCAGATACAAAATGTCAATCATTTTAATGTTAAAAAATCATCATAATCAAGCATCAACTTCTGGATCCATAGCTCTGACATGTTTATGTTTCAGCTATATTACTATAAACAAAACTATATACATCTTAAATTTGATAACTAACTGGGACTGTGCCATGCATGGCTTGTTTCATATCAGAATTGTTCTGAATTATAGTAAACTATATATTTTATTAAAGCTCTCATTTCATACTTCCTAAATTTCTTCCTAAATGTCAGGGTTAATATTATGATGCATTGAAACAATAGATGTACTGATATATGCCAACCCATCTCAACATCAAACACAGACTAAAACTAAAAGCATCAGGAGGATTATAGACCTAAAATAAATAAAATTAAATATGAATAAAAGGTGGTTTGACAGTGACTGCTGTCAACTAGGAATAAATTTAAAAACTGCACTAAATTGTTTTAAATGGATCCAATATTTCGTGCTAATTAAAAAGACAAAAAATGATTAAAAACTTCCACAATATTAGATACAAGTTCACTTACTTTGATACTTGGTATATGTGTACCTTAGGTAGACATCTACCAGATTCATTTATTGCGGGATGTTTTCAAGTCTCTAATTTTAATGAATATTTTTGTTGTTTTTGGTAAAAAGTGCTGTTTTCGACTTCTTCTTGAAAAAACGGCAAGCCTGATTGCTTCAATATTTCATATGTAGATGTTTTATATGTGATGGCCATGTCAAATCATCTAATAGTTATTCACAGACAGATCTGAAACCCAAGTTAATTGATCTGTACTATTTAATAATTTTTTCTTAAAAATCCACTCATTGTCCAATTTAATGATTCATATCACATGTAAAAATAAGATTTCTATTGATGTTTTGGGATACATCAATAAACATTCTTTCCAATTACAAAAAAAAAATTTGTTAAAAGTCATACAATTCATAAGTATCTCAATAGACGGTGTGCATCACTTGCATTGTTACACTATCCATGATTGGCTGAAAGTCAGCTGATTGGGATATGACCCTGGTCACAACACTGTGTTTGGCCATGTTATCAATAGTTGTGTTCACGTTACACGAAGTACGGGCTAAGATTTAGGCTGATTTAGGCTTATCTAGCATATTTGCATTTTGGCTAGACCCAATTGTGTCCACGCACAGGGAGGGCCAGTCGTTAGCACGGGCTAAGAGGCGCCATCAGTCAGTGACCTTTGGGAAGCCGCTATTTACGAACGAAAAATGAATGACACGCGCGAGGTTCTATTTCTGCTGCTGACATGTTTTGTTCTAATTTTGAAGCGACATGCACAGGAACGCGAGAGAAGACGGACCCAACTTATTTGGATGCACAGAAACAGTATACAACGGCATAACAGAATACAGAGTTTTATTAATGCATGTCATAGACAGCAAACCAAATTTATTTTGTTTACGATTAGAGCTGCAGTACGCTCTACTACAGCGACCCGATCAGTGGGGAAGCGTGTACACTGAGCTCGGTTGCCATTTTGGGAATGAGAAAATTGGATATATCTGATCACGTGCATGATGTTCACACCCAAAGGTCGCCGTAGAGGGCGCTTAGCCCTGGGCTAATCGTTCGCGCACACTTCGTTAGCCTGTGCTAAGGGTCTAGACTGCGTCTTGAATTCGGATCAGATTTAACCCGTACTTAGTATTCCTTATCCTGTGCTAAGCGTTCACGCACGTTTGCTTAGCACGGGCTAAGGAATTTGACCTCTTAGCCCGTGCTAAGGAGCTGTGCATGAACGCAACTAATAGTTCCCTGTGAAAGCTTCTGATTACAATGTAAATCACTAAGATAATGAAATAATGTTTTCATTTCATTTCATTTCCAGGATCAGAACACTCCATTACATCTCGCTGCCTGTTTTGGATACACTCCTATAGTGGAGAAGTTACTACATAAAGGTGCTAATGTGAATGCTGTCAATAAAGTGAGTGTATTATCGATGCAGGTGTAGTATATCAGTATGTATACATGTGCTATATCAACTCACTCGCATGCATATTCAAGATTTCTTGTGAAAAGGTGTTTATTTTTGAGACTTCATATTGGGAAGAGAACCATTGATATGTAAATTAAATGATTTTCTCGATGAATTTAAGAAAAATATTTGTCAAA